TTCTAGAACACCTTTACATGCTTTCTCAGTCAGTGACCATGTATGTTCATTTCTAGAACACCTTTACATGATGTCTCATTCACTTATTATAATATTATATATGTTCATTTCTGGAACACCTTTACATGATTTCTCAGTCAGTGACCATGAATGTTCACTTCTAGAACACCTTTACATGCTCTCATTCACTTATTATAATATTATATATGTTCATTTCTAGAACACCTTTACATGCTGTCTCATTCACTTATTATAATATTATATATGTTTATTTTCAGAACACCTTTACATGCTGTCTCATTCACTTATTATAATATTATATATGTTTATTTCCAGAACACCTTTACATGCTGTCTCATTCAATGACCAAGTGGAGTGTCTACAATTATTACTAAGTGCTGGTGCTCAAGTAAATGTAACCGATGGTAACGATAAAACACCACTAATGTTGGCATCAGAAAATGGATCTGCTGGAGCTGTTGGTAAGTTGCAATGAAAACCGTAATTCCCCTGTATTCACCTCAAGTTTAGTAACTGTTGTGACATCATTAAATATTAATTCAATGTAATAATATAGTGATATTCATGAGAAAATACTGTGAGATTACACCATGGCCATTTGTGTATAAACGTTAGCAACATTAAAAGTTGGCTCTCTAGTTTATGCATACCCAAATTTGTTCACAGTACTTCAAACTAAACAATTATCTACAAAACAGATTATTTTAGTGCTTACATTACAGTACTATGTCCGAGATTTTATGTTGCATTCCTAGAACACCTTTCACTGACTCCTGAATAATTCCCACTTTGTATGATCTGTACCTTCAGTGGTGGCTGGCTTCAGTGCCAGGCTACCTTCAGTGGTGGTTAGCTTCAGTGCCAGGCTACCTTCAGTGGTGGCTGGCTTCAGTGCCAGGCTACCTTCAGTGGTGGCTGGCTTCAGTGCCAGGCTACCTTCAGTGGTGGCTGGCTTCAGTGCAGTCTACCTTCAGTGGTGGCTGGCTTCAGTGCAGGCTACCTTCAGTGGTGGTTAGCTTCAGTGCCAGGCTACCTTCAGTGGTGGCTGGCTTCAGTGCAGGCTACCTTCAGTGGTGGCTGGCTTCAGTGCAGGCTACCTTCAGTGGTGGCTGGCTTCAGTGCAGGCTACCTTCAGTGGTGGTTAGCTTCAGTGCCAGGCTACCTTCAGTGGTGGCTGGCTTCAGTGCAGGCTACCTTCAGTGGTGGCTGGCTTCAGTGCCAGGCTACCTTCAGTGGTGGCTGGCTTCAGTGCCAGGCTACCTTCAGTGGTGGCTGGCTTCAGTGCAGTCTACCTTCAGTGGTGGTTAGCTTCAGTGGTGGCTGGCTTCAGTGCAGGCTACCTTCAGTGGTGGTTAGCTTCAGTGCTAGGCTACCTTCAGTAGTGGCTGGCTTCAGTGCAGGCTACCTTCAGTGGTGGTTAGCTTCAGTGGTGGCTACCTTCAGTGGTGGTTAGCTTCAGTGGTGGCTACCTTCACCTTCAGTGTTCAAATATTTCAGTATTTATTTTATTGCCAAACAAGCAGATTTTATCATTTATCATAGTGATCACGATAAATAATGGCAGGCAATGTAAACTCTAATAGAACTGAGTTTGTCAAAATGGAATCCCCCAAATCAAGTTGAGTCACTTTGTTGACTCTGGAAAGGTCAGTCTTGAAGCTACGTGGCTACGGGCAAAAATGTTTTAGTTCCCAATTTGCTTCATATTTACAATTATTTTGTTTCTCAAATGTGAATTCGATTTTATTAAATAACTATAACTATAATAGTAAGATGTTTTTTTTTAGACCAATGCATGATTTTTAAATGTGCCAGTGAATTAGCACAAGTAACATTACAAATCTTTGTACGTCAATGGTGTGTCATATCGGCTTTGTGGGCACACAAGTGGGAATGCAACTTCTACCTTTTCACCACCAATTTCCTCTTTCATCACGAAATAGTTCTGTTTATTTCCTTCAGAAGATTGTGACAAAAATAGCCAAATTGTTTGAGTAAAAACTGAAAATTGACTCAAATTATCTGTTGGTTCAATATTATGGTTCATTTCCAGAAATAGTGAAGAATATAATAAAAAAAAAATGCAGAAAAATTTAGGCGAGAAGGCAGGTCGTGAAAAGGTTAGGTAACATAGAAACGCATACACATCTACTCTCACTTCATTTTCACTATAAAAGTTTATTCATTTGCAACAATTACAATGATTTTCTTTTGTTTTTTATCAGAAATTTGTAATCTTGTTTGTACTTGTGTTTTTTCAGAAGTGCTTGTGAACAGTGCTGCTGCCGATATCAGTAGGGTAGATGTAGATCAAAACACAGCCCTTCACTTTGCTTGTGCTCAGGTATGGTTATCTATACATGTATATCTACATTGACTGGTTGATCCATACATCCATATACTTCCAATGGAGCATTCCATTATAGCCATATAGGGCTTAATCCTTTGAGTCGCATATCTTTTCTCTACCAATTTCTGTTGTAATATTTTGCATATTTTTGTGTTTTTCTAAAATTCGCCTGTGCATTTTGGACCATATAAACAGAATCTTCCATTTGCTACCTGTTTTGATCAGAATTTTTTTTTTAAATATCGAAAAATAATCTGCTTCTAATTTGTGAATAGTGCCAATAGTTGACCTCATTTAAAGGAGTAATAACAGGTTATCAGAAAAGTAAACTTGGTGAATCCAATTGATCACACATACACATAATCCTTTGCTATACTAACTCAAAGACATGTTGTGTTCATTTTTGAAGAGCCATACCACATGTGCGCTGTTGTTACTTGAAAAGATAGATCAGGCATCATTATTAAACTTACCAAATAACAAAGGTGAAAGGTAAGTTGAAAATAATACATTATGCGTATCACTGATAGTCATCGTTAAGATTTGGTTTAGTCTATTTTTTTATATTGTATATACTTAGCATTATCGTGTAAAATATTTTATTTAAGCTGGAATTAATTTTTGCCGATAAGACTTTTGGGATGTTTTGTATGAAATTGATTTTTGAATGTAAAATATAGAAAGAAAGGTATATTTGCTGGATTTTATATTTCCTGAATCACGCCCTCAGCAAAAATTAAGTATTTTACAGTGGACACAGGAGGGGAGGGGGTCGAGAAAACGTGGTATTGTACATTATATATCATATGTAGTGGGTAATAGTTTGCAGTATAACAAACGGTTATAAATAATTGTATTTGCACTTACAGCCCTCTGCATATATCAGCACGTAATGGTTTGGTATCAGTAGTACAGGAACTTATATCAAAGGGTGCTAGTGTCTTAGCAGTAGATGAAAGGGGTAAGTACACTATTATTAAATGAAAAAAAAATTAACAGATAAAAGTAAAGTAACAGATTATGTTTTTAAACAAAGTTGCCAATGGGGTGGATTTGTTGGTGTTGGCAGTGTTAAATCAAGTTTAGGACTTTTGTCATGTATATTACACCATAATTAATTCATAACATAATTTTTCAAATTTGTTCGTATTTTTCATGAATCTTTTCGATAATTTAAAAGCCAATAGTCATAATTTTACATTGCCTTCAGGTTTTGGATTAAAATTATGGATTTAATTCTTTGACTAGTGTTCAAATAGTGGAATGACTGTGAAAATAGAACATTTCACTACTTCTGAAAAAACTGTGGAATCAATGATTATACCAGTAAATAAGAAAAGTAAAACAATGTTAGTTACAACTTTCCAAAAATATCATAAGTTAACTGTTTAGGAACTTAACATTTCAGTAAATGATTTAGAGTATGTAAAGTCAGAAAAAACTACTCAGTGTCATAATGGATCAAAATTTATATACTGTAAAATGGTTAATTATTCACTGGGTTTTAATTTGGCTTATTTCGCTGACTGGAAAATGCGCTAAATTAAAACCCAGTGAATATGTAAAATTTAGCATAAAACACATTATCTAAATGATAAAACCGTGAATTTAAAACCCATTGAATATGCCTGAAATGGTAAATCAGTGAAATTTAAACCCAGTGAAAATTAGTCATTTTACAGTAATAAAGTTCATAGAGTAGTGAGTATGCTTCTAGTGCTTCTATGTTTTATCTTCACTCACTTGGACTACTGTGGCACAATCTAATGATCAGCCTAATCAAACAAGTATATATATACACTAAAAAAAAGAGCAGTTAGGATGATTTTTGATTTTCCTACACAAACTCCTACAAAAATTGAGATAGAGAGCTATGATGGATAGAGTTGACTACTGGTGCTCTGTTATGGTCTACAAGTTGAATAAACATATACAAATACATTTTTATTTATATGTTTTGTAGGTTATACTCCTGCGTTGAGTTGTGCCTCGAATTCTCAGGTAGCTGACTGTCTAGCATTGATTCTAGCCAACATGATGCCGTTTACGCCAAATAGTGGAAATAACTCTCGAATTACGCTTGCTATGACCGGGGAGTTGGCAAGGTCACCATCAGTAGAAGAACCAGCATCAACACCGACTAGCTATGCTGATTCCGATTCTGAAACCTATTAGTAATCCATTGTTTTTCAGTTGTCATGGTTATCCTGGATTCTGCTTCTAAATTGTCCCTTTTAGGTGTTTGTTATTAAAGTAAACCTGCTGCTCGATTAAAGCAATATTCACATGGCAGTGGTAACGTTTTGGAGAAAAAATTGTATATATTAGTATTGAAATGAATATATTAAATTGTAAATACATTTAGTTATTCAATATTATTAATAACCCTGTTGAATGAACCATGAAGTAATAGAAAGAGGGTGTTTGTCTGCATACCATCACACTTTACATTTATTGTCAACTATTGGCCATATGGCATAATGTCAGCTACTCCCTTTGTGTCTCTTTGTTTGCAGTATTCCGTTTTATTCAACATATACTTTTCAATTTAGTGGGACATTGAATTCGCATCAGTATTACAGGCTCGGGAATTTGTTAGACAAAATATGGTTATGGTAGATTATTTTCTTTTTGCAATCCATACACACCAGTAATGTTACGCCGGAATAAATTGCAGGTAATTGTGACTTTGAGTTATTCCATAGCTCAGTCTGGGAATAATCATGACAATCTTAGTGTCTATGTATATTAACCCACCTAATATGCAATGTGCGTGTCTTCTGAAATGGTCTTATATATCTATATTACAGTACTCGGTATGAATGGCAACATTATGTGTTATACCTCCCTGTGACTTGGCAGGAAATTATTTCAAATTTGAAAAACGAAACAAAAAACTTAAGGTTTTTTTAAATATTCAATACATGTGGAACAGTTAATGTGGACTGATACAAGTAGTCCTGTGGCATCAGTTTTTCTCATTTAAGATTTATTTTTGTTTGCAGTTATTTTTATTATCTACTCAACTAATAATATCCACAATTATATGGCATGGTTATCTACAGAACGCATTCCATCATATAGTTATTCCACAACACCGGATTATCTACTGTGTCCCAATGTTTTCATCCAAGCCATCAGCATATTGATGGCTTAACTGTCTCTGGTATCATTGAATCATCTACACTATCCTCCAAGCCATCAGCAACTTATTGTGATGCAACCATTGACACACAGTATTCATGTTTGTATGTATAATTTGATACATTTGACACATCTGCTCTGATAAGCCATCAACAATTGTAACCTATTATTTGTATTCAAGAGATGTTATTGCATTCCTTCAGTACTTTGATATTTTTGTTTTAATCGCGATATCCTTATGTTAAATGTGTTTACTTGTCGTTTTCTTTTAACTAATGTATGATATACCAGTCCAAATGATTCAGTTTTCTGAACTCATACAAGTGATGATCAGTTACAATTTTAATATCAGCTTTACAAGATGAATGATCACAACAAAGTAATAATGCATATTTGTAATGACTTTAATATGTTGTTGAACACCTCAATGAATACACAATGAATAAGTGGAATTAATTTATACAATATTAATTGTGCACTGTAATTACTTGAAAGCCATTTTCATTCTCACCATAAATGACAAAAAATTTATTATATGTGAACTAAATTGAAAATGACATCAAATGTTTCCCATGCTTACAATTGGGTTCAGAATAGTGTGAACTTTTCTTGTACATGATTTTGATACACGCGTGTACGTGTGCACGCTCACCGATTGTGCTGCTTTGTTTGTTTGTTTGTTTGTTTGTTTGTTTGTTTGTTTGTTTGTTTGTTTGTTTGTTTGTTTGTCTGTCTGTCTGTGTTTAGTAGATGTTGGTTAATGCATATTACAATAGTGCAAATGAAGCATCACTAATTAAATAGCATAGTCAATCAAAATGAATCATTGAGATAAATAACAAAACTTGTGCATTACATGTCTACAGATTTACATCCACGCTATTCTGTCCTTGATTGTACTGTATACTGGTACTATAAAAGTTTGCATGTTATTGTTTGCACTTCTGCTACAAGTTTCTGCTTTTTTTCATGCATTGAGCCAAATTTGCTAAAATAATATGTAGCTAAAAAACAAGATTTGTAGTATTCAGATTTCTAGTCAATATGTGACAACTTTAAGGTAGCAAGAGGGGAAAAAACACAAACTAGGAATTCTCTGCCAGTTACTTAGCATGTAACTATGTTTTAGTAAGCTAGTATTTAGGAGAATACAATCATATACTTTTTTTGGTAATATTCGCTCAGGAGATTGAGTTATAGAAAGTTTTCTTTTTTTGTGGAAATTGTCATGTTCCACTTAGTTTTGGGAATATAGTCTCTATTCCACAGACTGTTCTGTCATCTTGTGGCCATAACTCAAAACAGGTGCACAGAAACAGGCATAATTTTTAGCTAATTTTGATGTGAAAAGTGTTGCAAGATGACATTTTCAACAGTTTCGGTAAAAACTGTTTTTTTCGTATTTGGCTGCAGATAAGCAACTAATTATTTATTGTCAAATGTACGCATTTGTTATCATACTTTATAAATATACAAGTATTTGATCTTTGGTTATTCTGTGACAAAGTTGTGTCACAAAGAAATGTTTTACACTGAGCAATTTCTACAAGAGTGAGTGGCCTATTACGCTGCTCATTTATTCAAGGTCCTTCATGTGAAACTGATTATGTTTATTTCGTGCACGGTTATGTAAATTTACAGTGGAATGTTTACCCAAAACTGGGTTTTAGAAAATAACCTTGCCAAATGCATTGCGCACAGTTAAAAAAAAAATATTGATAAAAATTGCAATATACGGTAATGTACATAATCATAATAAGAGTATTCCCGCCATCTCTTGCTACCTTAAAGGGGAAGCAACATTTTAAGGTGAATTGATGTAAAATGAAATAGCAGAATTAGCAATTTTGTAAATATGAATAATAATTTAGGGGTGCCACCAGTGACCAGATTAGACAGTTCTTTTGTTTATATTCAACAATGGTTGTGTGCACTGTGCCAGATCAAAACCAGTTTTCAAAAAAAAATTACTAAATTGAATGAATGTAAAAAGATGAATATTTTTGTACTTGTGGAAATTTGGTGTTTTATTTGTTGGTCAATAAAGGTTTAATTTATTGACATTTTTGCATGTACTAGTGACTTTATTGTTGTATATACAAAGAGAATCAAGTTGTGGGAGTATCACAGAATTTGACTCTGTCATCTGTTCTCACTTCATTACATATGTGACAATACAACATCTGTCCTGCTGCAAGGACTACCTTGAAATAAATAGTCGTGGAAGGTGCACAGATCTTGTCCTTGGGCTACCTGTTTTCAAAATAAGAACCCGACCACATACAAAATATTGTTTTTTAAATAAAGCAATTGATCTCTTGCACAAATTGAGCAATTCACACTTTTCTGTATGGCTGAGAATGCCTACTAAACCTGATTGACTCCAAATGTTAATTACGAGCCCCACCCATGGACGACTTTCCCAGAAGTCAAGTGTTGCATACGACTTGTTTACCACTTCCGTGTCACTGAGAATGTTCTAGAAACGTACTGTGTCTGGGTAGAATATTCTAGATTTTTAGGGACTGGTTGAATAGGTAATAGAACACTGTAGGAGGCAATAGAAGGTAATGGAACATTCCAGAAATTTGTAGTAAGTTTCAGACTCATTATGTATGCTGATGTAATGGTCTATTTATAGACAGTGGGGGTATATATAGGGGAGTTGTTCAGCACTGAGTTCAGATCGGAGATCTCGTTGAATTGTATTTGAGTTTTAGTATCTAGTTATTGGAGTAGTGGAGTTTTACCGCGTTATTGTACTTGATGTTTGCAGAGTATAATAATAATACCAGTATATATATATATCTTTATTTCGTACTGTGGCCATTGGCCTTATGTACAGATACAAATAAATACATAATAAATTAGATTGGAATGGTCGCAGAAACAAGTAAAGAAAAACAAATATAAAATCATATACATAACATTTGCATAATTAAGTGTTCTCTTCAAGCATAAGCTGACGTACTTGAAAACTATAAAATATAAATTTACCAAGTTTAATTGTATATATGGGGTTTGATTCTGAATAATGAAATAAACTTTATCTCTGTAGTGGGGAGTAGTATACTGTGCATAA